GGGGGTGGTGGTGTCTTTTGAAGAGAGAGATGGAAGGGGAAAGAGAAGGGAGGAGATGCAGAGAATGAGACACAGAAAGCGAGAGAGAGAGAGAGGAGAGAGAGAGAGAGTGTGTGTGTGCGTGTGTGTCTCCTGTGTATGTGTTTGGGGACCCACACAGTGAGGCCTGAGCATGTGATTTATTTCAGAATACTAATGTCTCTTTGATCTCCTCTGCTTAAAAAAAACCCCCACCCTTGCTGGGATTGTGGGCTCGCACGCACGCACACAAATGCATATATATGTATCTACATACAAGCGAGCACACGCCCGTACGTACCTGCAGCACACACGCCCCCACATTAATATTGTTGTGTCCCCTCGACTGACTGCTGAGCAGGACTCATTTATGCAGACACACTCCCTCGCTCAGTCACACTCACTCACACACACACACATACTCCAGGGCGTCTAATCTACTTTAACTATCGCCAAATCCATAGAGATCCAATTACAAAGATAGAGGGATATTTGTTTTTCTCTATGCATCCTAAAAGACTAATTAAATTTTCATGTAAAGATGAAATTATTTGATACAACACAAACGTCTTTTCATTTTCATAATTGTAATGTAATATGTTTTAATTGGGGATCCTGTGACTGTTTCTGCCTACCTCAGCTGCCTTTCTAGGCCTATTATCCTGTACAACCATTACACCACACACACACACACACACACACACACACACACACACACACACACAAAATAACAGAATGGCGATGTATTTCACTTGCCTTTCTTTCTTGTATCATTTCATCATCCAAGTTGGGGTCATGGGTGCTAGAGCGTATCCCAGAATGCACCAGGCAGAAGGCAGTCAATCAAAGATTATTCAGACCTTAGTTTTGTTTTTGTCTTGTACGAGTCTTCCTACCCTAAAAATGAATGTTTCTGATAGTGTTGCAGTGGGAATTTAATCACAATCATAGCTTTCCATCAGTATGTATTTATACATAAGAACACACTACAAATCTACTGCAGGTCTCTTGACAATTTGAGAATATTAACAGTCCACAGCCATGCAAGCCTCAGTCTGGCCTGTACACAGCACAGCACGGCCTTGAGCTAACTGCTAACGTCAGCATGCTAACACGCTCGCGATGACAATGCTAACATGTTGATGTTTTCGCAGGTATAATGTTCCCCATGTTCAGCATCATATAGTTCAGCGTGCTAGCATGCTAATATTTCCTATCCTGACCAGGTGATGGCGCTAGATGAAAAGTAGCTAGCCAAGTTACAATGATCCTGAGGGATGCATGAGTGTGTGTGCCAAATGGCATGGTAATCCATTCAATGATTTCACTTCAAATTACAAATGTTGGTCTCACGTCAAAGTCATTATGTACATTCTCTGGTGATGGTGTCTGTGTACAAATTGTCACTGCAATCCATCCAATGTGTGTTGAGATATTTCAGTCAGGACCAAAGTGGTGTGCAGACCGACAGTGCCATCCCTAAGGGCATGCCACTAGGCTGGGGAAATCTGTGTTGCCGTATTCACCTTATTTATCCAAGAAACGGTCAGATTTGCCTGGTGTTTTTTGCATGGAGGGGTGCAGCTGTGGCCAAGGGGAGCGAGCGGGCCGTCCTTTAATCACAAGTTTGGAAGTTCGATCCCCGGCTCCTCCCGTCCATATGTCGAAGTGTCCTTGAGCGAGACACTGAACCCAAAGTTGCTCCCTGGCTGCTTTACAGCCGCCCACTGCTCCTAAAGTGCTTCGGAGGGGTTAAATCAGAGGTCAAATTATGTAGTATGACAAATTTTAAGTTTAGTCCAACAGGGCGACATTTCCCCCTTTTTCTTGGGACTTTACAGAAGGGGCTTTAGTCCAACAGAGCGACATTACCATAGCCACACTGCTCCTCTCGCCCAGTACGCCTGCTCTCGGCCTTTTTTACACTGTTGCATGTCCTCACTTTTGTACATCGCATGAGTTGTTTGAGCATTTAGGAAATTACAGTAACGTTATGGTGTATTTTCAGGCGATCTGGGCTGTCTACTCCTATTTCAATAAATGATTTGCTACATGTCTCCAAAGTGAGCTTGGAGCCCAGCTTTTAACTGCTGTATTTATTTACACTATGTGTGTACATAGAATATACTGTATGAGCACAGTTGGTTGCTTGTTAAACTGTGTCTGTCTTCTCTGATTCATTCTTGTATAACTGCAATTCAATATAAACAGGCCGCTTATCTGGAAAGAAGCTGAAGTCTGTCTTTAGATTCTGTGTAAGGGGTACATCTCTCTCTCTTCCTGCTTTCTCCTGGGTCTGCCGGCAAGCCGCTTGACTGCAGTAATTAGAAGACGAGACAGCTTCTAATACCAAAGACTGTCTGTCTGAGTTTCTAGGAGGTTCACAATGTTCTCCTCTATGGTGTTTTAGTCTTGGGCAAAATTCAGATTGGATTGTGGAATAGGGAGTTAGTTATATTTGTGAAACTGTAAATCGAGGATATTAATTAGCAGTTAGGGAGCCGGCCCAGCCTGGTCTGGGACACTTTTTTTTTTTTTTTTTAAAGTGTGTGCGCGTGCGTGCTGCTCAGGCTTTAAACCAGGATGTTGTAGTCTAACCTCCCTCCTCCCCCCAAGCCCCTAGTCTCGGTTGATACATGGAGTCTGTCAGAAACTCCAGCTCTCGTCCCTGATGAACGCCTCCAGCGGCAGCCTCGGGGACATCAGTGCATGCAGCTGCCGGCCCGACTCTGCTGGGTTTTCATCCCTCCTCATCACAGCAGAGGCAGCAGCTTGGTGATGCCACCTCTCATAAGGGGCCGCCCCGGGGTGGCACAATGCACCGACTACAGTGGGTGATGGAATCAGATATATGGTCTTTCATTAGACAAAAGTAAAGATGGTCTGACCTGCTTCGACCCCAGCAGCTAGAGGCCCTAAACTGAATATGAAGTATTACAGGATTTACATCATTGAAATATTTATTTAAAGCAGCTTTGATACAGCCATAAACAGATCAAATGACTGCAGTTGTATGTAGTGAGGGACCCAGGGAATTATCACCAACTCTGTTGTCACCCGTAACTCTACAGAGCTTTTTAGCATCTATTTCACTGTTTCCGTCTGCAACTTTGCGGTTTTGGATCCCTCCCACCACACTCGTCAGCGTCATGTGAACTGTTTTCAGCTCTGAAGCTCTGAAGCTCTGATAAACCCACAGCACAAGCTGCTGCCGAGCACCAGACAGCAGGAGTTAGAGAGCAAAAACAGAGCTGCAAGGAGAGGGTTTTTCCCCCAGGTCGTGTTTACATCCAACTCCCAAGTGACCAAAATAAATAAATATGAGATCTCGTATAACATTGTTGGACCCATTATGGACAGTTTTGAGAAAAACAAGCTCATAAAGTAGCTGAACCGACTGTGCCGAGAAATCCACCCTCTTTTACATGTAAAATATTCAATTCTTCATCATTATCCACCCCTCCACTACTTAATCAAGCTGTAGACTTGCTTTTTTGGGGCACTTCACAGAAGGCGCTCTGCTGCTTGGAGCTGCTCTCTGGTCAAACAAGACCAGCAGCAGCGCAACAGCCACATGGTAGCGTTTCCAAAGTAGACAGCGCCATCGTGCGGCCCTGCTGCTGCTTGCACGGAGAGGGTGGAGCTATACGCGAGGACTCGGCCTGAACTTGTGCTGCTTTGACATGCTTTGTTTACGTCGCGAAGTTTAAGGCTGACATGGTCCGCGAGGAGCTGGCGGTCCGTCTCAACGACAGGGAGTATAAAAACTGGCTGAAAGCCGGACGGTGTCTGCTCATACTGAAGGAGGGTCTGCACCCCTTCGTCAGCCACCACACGAGAGCTTTCCACGCAGATCTGCTCAATCAAAGCCCGCTGCTGCGGAAACCGTGCGAGACGTCTTGGTGCAAACCGAAAAGGAATCAGGTCGGTCTGGAAACTCTGTTTAATCCCGGGTCTGCTCATTTAATTCATGTTTCTGCGACACTTTTACGTGAAATACGGTATTGAGTCCCCTGTAGTACGGGGGGCTTACACAAAGTTCTTCTGAGTTTACTGCGATGGTACTGTACACGTATGCTCACTGTAAATGACGGTATGAGTTGTGAGCATAGGTATGTGTGTGTGCGTGTGCGTGTGTGTGTAGCTTTCCTCGGCATGCAGGGCGTGTGCAGGGTGGCAGACGGTGATCCTGAGACACCGCAGGCAGCCAGATGCCACGGTGAACTGGGACAACTGTTTCCCTCCCAGCTGGAGGACAGACCACTGGGAACTGGCCAAGGTAGTCATCACACCGGACCTACAATCTGCTGCGACTGGCGTTTAATATCATTAGCCTTTACTTCAGTATGTTTGATGCTGTAGAGTAGTACTTCATTTCTTGATGTTGGTTTATGGGAAATGTGGTCCTAATTTTGACATACAGACATAAGAGTCTCCTCTATTATATGTAGTTGAGTAATATTTAGTAAGAGCTGCAACCAATGCATTTCCTCCCCCCTTTTAGTGATTAATCTGACAATTTGTCTATAAAATGTCAGAAAATAGAGGGGAAACAAGCCTGTTAATATATCCACAGCCCGAGGTGAGCTATCTCGACTGACTGTTTAATCCGACCAGCAGTCCAGAACCCAAAGAGATTCAGTTCCCTGTGGTATATAAAGGGAAGCATTAAATCCTGACAACCTGACTCAGTTGAAAGTGTGTTGGAAGTCGAAATAGCTCAAAGTAATGGATTACTGGCTGCAACATTCATCTTCTGCCACTCCAGGAGATCGTTAAAGGTGTTAAATAAAATCCAGTTAAATGGTGGTGTCTAACTGAAGCTCACCTTACATCGTTTACATCAGATCAAATAAAGGTTGGGAACCACTAGTTTAGAGGAACCAAACCAAGTTTTAATGGGACAATTCTGAAAACATTACATTTGGTTAGAAATGTCACCTGAGGACCTTTCATTGATTTTGTTCAGTATTTTTAACACATGGATTGATTTGTGATCTGTCGCGTAACAGATGAGCTGTCACTGTAAAGACTCAGATACTTTATGTCGAGATGAAATTATAAAAAATAAAAGTCCTCTTTCTGGGCTTTGTAACTTTTGACATTTCATACTCTAAACAATTGATCAAGTAATAGAGGAAATAATCAGCAGACCAATCGCTAATGAATGTCTTTCTCTATTTTTGTCTTTGTGTGTCTCTCTCTCAACATCTGTCTGACTGTCTCTGTCTGTCTTACTGTCTCTTCCTCTCTCTGTCTGTCTCTCCCTCTCTCTGTAGGCCTTCATGCCGCGGGGTCAGGGGAAAGTGAAGGTGGCAGAGCAATGCGATGCCTCTGCTCTGCTCAACCTAATCAACCACTGTGATTGTTTCCACTTTGTGGATCCAAAATGTGTGAGAGAGGTAAACGGTCATGTTGTTTAAAATGGGAATGCTGTTTGATCAGTCATAGTCAAGTTGTTATGTCAAGCCTTTGAAAAGGTGTGCAGCCTAGCTGCGTAACAGACACCCCCTCCCAGGGCAAGGCACTGGAAGACGGCTTGTTCAGTGACCTCTGACCCAGGTAAGGGACGTTGTTCTGTGTGTGTGTGTGTGTGTGTGTGCGCAACAGGTGTAGGAGGACTGGAAGTACTCCAGGATGGGCCCCCGCTCTAAAGGGCCACTACTGGAGGAGGAACCCCGTGTGGTTGGGAACCCCGCTCGGTTATATAGGGCAGCTTCGGGACCCTGGGCCTAACACCCTCAATTTAGATGCCAATCTGACCCCTATGTCTTCACTAAAAACACAACAGCTAATGTCTAAGCACTATAATCACAATGCACCATAATGCATGATAAACAAGCAGAGCATCAAGAACAATCCGAGCCAACCAAGTCAGTAAATCACATAATACTGAACAACACCATTTTGACCTTCGCTCGTAACAGGTATGTCATTCAGATTTATGACCAATCATTTACTGCCGTCAGCCAATCCCAGGGGAAGAGCTGTCTTACCTTGAGACTACGAAGGCAAAACACATTAAGGCTATCATCATTAAATTTACACTAAATAATATGAGATCATATGTAAAGAATATATTGATATCTGAGACCAAAACACCCGTAGTTCAATAAATGGAAAGAAATCGTAACAAATCAAAGGGTATGAAACTTAAATGAGGATTCAATTAAAATAAAAAGTCAATTACACTTGACGATAGCACTTCCTGTATGGATAAATGAAACCTAGGAGTTTCCATTGTGTAAGTGTCAGCCTGATGCCCAAACCACAGAACATTGCTGCTGCGCTTCAGGGTCTCGCTTCTCGCTCCTCAGAAAGTTGAGGTGTTGGGTAGCGTCAAAGTTCACCTGCAGTACACAGCAGTACCACTGGCTCCCTCTGTTTCAAGTATCTGTTTAATCTTCAATTTAATAAGTCAATTAATAATTGGTCTCGGACATTTTTGGTGGATACCTCAACACATTATATACCAGGAGGCAGATGCATCAAACTTTGTAGGTTCAAGACTAAAGCTCCGTGTACACAGGCTGGAAGATGTGCACGCTCTCTTCAGATGTATAAAGCGTGGTTCTATTTTATAAGTCTCCCAACAACATATTCTCACGGTGAATATGATATGTCTGTCTGCTCCCCCCGTCTGTCAACTATCTGCCTGTATCCTTGGTAATAACGCTGTTTTAATTCGTTAAATGTTGGGGAGTGAAACAACTTGCATATTGTATTTATTTTCTTCTTATTGTTATGCTGTTATTGTTGAATGCATATGACGTTTTGCATCCAGAACTTGAAAAATTTGACTTCAACAATATCTGTGACTAGAAGGAAAGAGGGAGGAGTTTCAATACACAACAAAGGGCTTTGTATTTATTTTTTTGCTCTTCCAGGTGATCCGTTTCAGGAACGAGTTGATGCATTCCTGTGAGTTGCGTGTGAAGGATGAATGGATGAGACACTACCAGACCAGTGTGAGAAAGCTTGTGCGGCACCTCGACCAGGTACCACAGATGGCAACAGCTGGAAAGCAGATCGAGGAGGTTTGTGTGTGTGTGTGTGTGTGTGTGTGTGTGTGTGTGTGTGTGTGTGTGCGCGTGTGTGTGTGTGCGTGCGTGCGTGCGTGCGTGCGTGCGTGCCGCTGCTTTGAGAGCTCTCAAGTCCAAGCTGCATCCGCGTTGTTTTGCATCACAGTTTTTCTTGCGCATGTGCGTTTCATTTGTCCAGATGCTGAGCCTTGATCTGTCAATATGTGTCTCTGGCTTGGACCGAATGGATTCCGCTGCCCTGGATGGATTGGAGAGCGATTCTGTCTGCCAATGGGAGACCAGCGCCGGCTTGATCAGCCAATGGGAGGCTGAGTTGCTACAAGAGAGGCTGCAGGAGTTACTGCACCCCGCTGACGATGATGCAAAGACACAGGTGCGAAGAACAGATACAGTATGTCTGTGTGCACTTGTGCATATAGACATGATGCATATAAAGAAAGATGTCACATGACTTCGACCGGCTGACTCTTCCTTCTTCTTTAGGACACGGAGCAGCTGAAGAGGCTGGGCGGTTTCCTGCAGGCCAACAGAGATCTGAGCGAGAGGTTTTCTGCAGAGCTCAAAGCCATCAACGCACTGGAGGCCAGAGAATAAGACGAAGGAAAAATGAGGAGCATGTTGTGCATTATGTCTTTGTATTTACTTCCTGAAATAGGTTGATGTCAAACTTGAAGCAGATCAAGGGATTTGTGACAGAATGTATGTGCATGTAAAGGATGTCATTGAAAAGGTAAATAAATAAAAAAACAACAGAAAACACTGACAAAACCCCTTGACTTGTTCCTGATTGACCGGATGATCGATCTGGATTTCAAGTAACTATTATACAAGAATAAAGTAGCATATGAAGGAAATACTCAAGTTAAGCACCTCAAAATTGTAAATAAGTACAGAACTTGTACAGAGCTCAACCGTTGCTAAAAAGGAAAAGGATTGTAGGAATTCCTGAACACCGGACATGACTTAACTGTACATCATGAGCCGTGGCCTGCATTTACTCTTCCTGATTGGCTGAGTATTCTAACAGCGGTCTGCATGTGTTCCTCTCGTTACTTTTCTGTAGCAAAAGAGCAAATATATCTGCGCGGTGTTACTCCGGCATGGAGCACTTTCGGGAGTTTGAGAAAGAACAAAACCAGAATTGGTTGAAAGGTGTTGTGGCGTTGTTGTGTCTTCAGAAGCCGCTGGAGCGGTTCATCGATGAGGAAATTGGGATTTTCCACCGAAAGCTGGGCGACGAATGCGGCGAGATACCGTGTGTGAAGAATTGCAATTTCAATAACTGGAAACCGCAACCGAACCAGGTACGAACATGAAGTACAACACCACCGTGCTTCATTGAAATGAAATAAATCAGGCATAGAGAAGTCATTATCACTCACTACACGCGTCTGACAAGTGAGCTAATATATTAGTATTATTATATATTATATATATTATATTAAGGACAGAGCAGAGCCGGTCTCATGTAGACATGTTACTTATGTGACTGCAGCCTTAACTTTAGGAGTTAAGTTAGTTGGCATTAATGAATTACTATTATTACGTTTCTACGTTACTGACAGTAAATCAAGAGCACGTTGACAGCTTCTGCTGCGTAAAACATCATAATATGCTATCCGTAGCCATTATTAAATGTACGGGTGACGGTAGAGAAATGTACGGGTGACGGTATAGGTTTAGACGGTAACACACAATTCTGCCGTCGAAAACGAAACCAGGAGTTAAAGGAAAAAAAAGTTTCACTGCAAAAATAGAACAGACATTTTTGAATCACCCAAAAGTAAGTCGTAATCATCGACTGTAGTTGTAACACGATGAAAAGATGACCATGTTTGTCTTTAGACACGTTAAAACCCACATCATTTGCCATTAATAATAATAATAATAATGCCACTAATCGAATGCGAGCGAGTGGCGATCTGAGAGGGTGCTTTTCCAATGCTCGATTCTTTTCCTCGCCTCCTCGCGCATCGTTCCTTCACACGAGAGAGGGCGAGCAGAGGGAGGAGAGAGGAGACAAATGTCTAAAATAATTAAATGTGAGAAGTGATGACATTTTGAACGGACATGGATGTAAACTGCAACTGCAAGGCGGTAAATCTTTTTATTTTTTTATTTTTTTTCCTGTGACCTCCTGTGTTGACGCTGCTGATTGCAGAGTCCTCCTCTAGATTGTGAGGTGTGTTCCTCTTGGAGAGATTCAATATTGGCCAACCACACCAGTCCGCGTGGAAAGGTGATGTGGATGAACAGTAAGCCCGACCGGTGGTCCCAAGATAAATGGGAAGTGGCTAAGGTAAGTTTGCAGGCGTCATCACATTTATTTTATTTTATATTAAGTGGACTTGGTCTGATGGTTTGCCAGGTGTCACACTAATAATACCTTCTCCTGTTTTCAGGTGTACATGTCAGATGGTCATAAGAACCATAATTCCATTGGGGACTTTGACATTGCTGCACTTCTGTGTCTCATGAAACAATGCGAGCACTTCAAGAAGTTTAAGCTCGGCGGATTGTGTGACAATGTAAATACTTCGTTGTACACACACACGTACAGTACATAAAGTCGACATTCACATAAACAAACATGTGTTGTGGGATGTCTCTTTTTCCCCTATTTTAATGAATATTTTATATTTGTTTAGTTGCCTGACAAAATTAACTGAAAGAATTGTGCCAGTTACAATGACCAAGTTGTGGATTTGGTTGCAGTGACAATGTGGCCACTTCCTTGAAACCCATCCCTACCTTTACTAACATCTAATAGGAGTCTGTCTTTTTTGTCCACTGTGCGTAGGTTGCCAACGTCCGAAACAATATTATGCATGCAGCATGTTTCCAGTTGAAGCAAGGGGATTTGCTCGATTACTTTAATCGAATCAGAAAGCTTGGTGAGGTGCTGGAACAACATGTTCCTGAATTCAAAAGCATGTCTAAAGACATCGATGAGGTTTGTGTTTATGTCTAATTTAATAGGAATATGCAAAAACAATTGATATGTAAATAGGTGCTGCTTTATCATTTGGTTTTATCACGGTATGAGACATTATTTGGATTCCCACTATGATTTTGAGTTATTTAATTCCCTCATCAGCGCTAAACACAGCTGAGGATGGATACAGCATAGGGTCATATACAAAAGTGTCGGATTAATTTAAAAAACGACCTGATGATGACAATAGATGAAAAAGTGGTGGTGCTAGAAAAGCCATGGGATCAACAAAGTCATACATCCTCTGGGGACCATGAATGTCTGTACAAATGTTCAAGCCAACCCATTTAATAGTTTTCCAGACATTTTACTAAAAGACAAAAATTGTTCCTTTGGAATACGAAGGCTTATACTTTGCTTTGTTTTCAGATTCAGAACCTTGACTGTAGATTGATGTTGCCTGACGACATGGCGGCTCAGAAAATTCAGGCTGAAAAATTTCAAGATGAAAAACATCTGGAGGACATACTTTTTGTAAGACACACGAAACACACCTATATTAGGCTCTCTTTTCTTTTTAACCGTGCTAATTCTGTTCATACAGTATGTTTCAATTACATTTTACCAGCTGTTCAGTAAGTCAAAAAAAAATAAATAAATATGCATCCTGTAAGACATGCAAGTTCCACCTTTTTGTTTTTAAAATACTTTTTCAACTATGGCTCCTTTTAAGCCATGATTCTGTGTGTGTGTATGTTTTTAGTGCACACAGAGATGTAGTAAATGTAATTACAGGTAATGCAAGATTGCTGCTAGATGTTTCACACCAAACCAGATCTTTTTTTAATCCTTTAACTGGTCTGGCTCTTTTTTCACCATGTCAACTTATCTTGTTTCTGCTCCCCCCAAGTGGCCAACATATCACATTTCCAAACCAAGAGAAGGTGTCTTGCTCTTATTTTAGCATCAAAAACAGTATTATTGTGCACTTAAGAGAACTGTGTTCTTACTCGGGGCACACAAAGCTTGAATGAACCAAACTCCCAATCTTAACACAACTGTGGCCAGGCACCCTTAATCCCTTAAGTTTAACGCACATTTGTGTCTGTGTGTGAATGCATTGTGCTCTTCAACCTCAGGCTGTTGCGCAGGAGGCAGCTGAACATCATCTCACCAGGATGAAGCTGGAGAAGCTGGAGAGACAAATTGCTCAACAAGAGAACATGCCTTTGGTGAGATTTAAAAGACAGGTTCACAGTTTTTTCTACTCTGTTTAAGACAATACTCACATGCCCAATATGTACTTTTAAAGAGTTTTCTGTTGCTTATTGTTCCTTTTATCAAATTCCAAATTGCTGCTTTTTTAAGGCTTCAGCAAGTGGCCATCATCCAAAGTTAGTTCATTTTTTTGTATAAAATAGGCACAGCCATGTTTATTCTATGTGTGCATATCAGATACCAGGCATTTACACTATGTATTTTGAATATACAGTTAAGTACTTTTAAAGTGCTCTTCATTTGTAAACATGCCTATAAAATGACTTATCTGTCATTAATTCTAATTGTATATGTGTGCATGGTTACATCTCAGGCTCATAGGCTTGTGGAATTCATTGTCCTCAGGACAAGATCATGTCACCACCAGGGCTGCCGTTGACAGTAGTCGGTGGTGTGGCCGGGGCTTTTTTATGGGTGTATTCTCTATCTGGAAACCCAAATCCATAATAGCCCTCTAACTATGTAATGTAGGGTCTTATGCACATAATAGTAAGCATCTAAAAATTATTAGAAATTAGTTTCAGTCCAATTTCAAAATATTGTCATGTACGTTTTTGTAAACTTTCCTGATATTGGGTTTGCGCATACTATGCTCGAACATTTGTTGAATAGTAAAATAACGCAATTAATTCCACAAACCAATAATTAACTTTTTGTTTTATAAATATATTTTAAGATAAATATTTTTTGTATAAATGTATTAATATATTTGTACAGGAGAAATAGTTATGTATACACTTAACTACAATTATGAATTGATAGAGTCCTTTCTTGCTGATCATGTAACCATTCACTCAAACACAAATAACTTTCATTCATTTATTAGAAAAATAACGTTTCTGATTTGTCTATGTGGCTGTGCATGTCACCCTTAGACGGACTACTACGCTCTGATTCATCAACCACGTGGTTTGTGTGTGGTCATCAATAATGAGTACTTCCTGGGAACCCTGCTGCCAAACCGAAGAGGGAGTCAGGAGGATGTGGGTATGTCTCCCTGTTATTGGTCAACCATGTGATCTGGTTTGTTTCTGTACTGTTTATCTATGAGTTACCGAGCAGCATTCCAGTTTGTGATCCTGCTTCATCACACATGATTTGATGATAATATAAGATGAGATGATTTAAAAACAATCAATTTGTCTCTCTTTTATGTGACACAGACGCTCTGAGCACAGTGTTCACGCTCCTTGGCTTTACTGTGTTGGTGCACAACAACTTGACTGCAGAAGCCATGCGACAAGAACTACGGATGTTGGGCTCACGGGATTTTCTGGATGAAGATGCGTTGGTGAGCAGTGTCACACACCTTCAGGGCTGTTCTATCATTGACTATACTGTACTTTATTTCTATTAATTTTGTTTTCGGGTTTTCCAACCATCTGTCCATTTGTACGTACGTCTGTCCGTCTGGTCCATCCTTGTGATTGCGATATCCCAGGAATGCCTCGAGGAAATTTCCTCCAATTTGGCGCAAACATCCACACTCAATGATTAACTGATTAGATTCCGGTGGTCAAAGGTCACTGTGATGTCACAAACAAAATTAGGTAATTTACAAAGTTAATTATTTTTGTATCTAAATCTTCTAAAAAACTTCACATAAAAAATAAATTAAAAAATACAGTAATTCAAACAAAGAATTGTTTCTTTTACATTTAAATATCAACACGCCAATCACAACACATTATCAGGTAGAGACAAACACAAAATGGATATGTTTTCAAAACAAAAATGTTATTAGTTATAGAATATATTTGTGTCAGATTGCAGGCTGTTGAGAGACGTTAAACACCTATAGACTAAACGTAGGATGTTGTGACAGTTATTTGTGTGTACAGGAAACTATTCAGGGTTTCAGTGAGCACCACTGTCACTACTGCTAGCTACACTAGCGAGGAAGCTCATCTTCCCATAATCTGTGAGAAAAGATGTTGGCCATGACATAAAATAACTTAAATTGATGAATCGTTTTCAATAGTTTGACACATCAATACACTTTTTCGCCGCTTGTCTCTGGGTCAGGTTGTAAGTAAGTAAAGAAAAAATCTGCAAATATCGAGCTATATTGTCCTTATTGTCCTCATGCTTTGGTTGGTATGATCTGGAAATGAGTAGTTCACGTGTATAAAAAGTCTCAAATTTAACTTTGAAAAGCCTGCTATAGCTTTATATTTACAGAACGTACGTGTGAGTGGTATCGATCTCGTCTTCTAACTTTCAGCAAGAAAGGGATTAATTGTGATTATTTGCATACAAAATCCTCTCATGTTTAGCTCTTGATCTCGGCTTTCGCTTCTGCTTCTGATCTCAGGTGGTGTGCGTGCTCTCCCATGGAGCAATGGGATGTGTCTTTGGGACCGATGAGCAGAAGGTGTCCTTAAAAGAACTGACCCTGCCCTTCACCAGCAGGGGAGCACCCACCTTGGCAGGGAAGCCCAAACTGTTCTTCATCCAAGCGTGTCAGGGAAGCGACTACCAGAAATTATATGCGCCATTTCCCCTGATGTCAAGACAGGAGGAGGTGGTCAGGGAGAGCTTTGAGGAGGTGGTCAGGGAGAGCTTTGAGGAGGTGGTCAGGGGGAGCTTTGAGGAGGTGGTCAGGGGGAGCCCCCCGGAGGCCGACGCTCATGGTGTCTTCAGCGAAATGCCATCTTGGGATACCGACTTCCTGCTGGGCATGGCCACTGTGTCGCAGAGCATGTCGTTTCGAAACATTTCCACAGGCTCCTTCTACATCCAGGAGCTGTGCACGCAGTTGAGGAGGTCAGCAGAAAGGTGAGAGAAAAATCTTCCCTTTTTCCAGAAAAAAGAAAACATAGAATGTTCCTCTTTTCCCAGATTAGGGACCATAATTCTGTCACTGTTTCTGTTGGTGTGCTTTTGGTGTTTAGATAAATCTGCTGTGCTGCTTACGAGGGCGACTGTGGCTAAGTGGAGAGCAGGGCCGTCCTTCAATCGGCGGTTCGAGCCCCGGCTCTGGCTCCGCTAGTTGCATGTCGATGTGTCCTTGGGCAAGACACTTAACCCCAAAAATTGCTCCCGTAGCTGTGCCTACAGTGTAGAAATGTGATAGAATCTGAATTATAAGTTGCTTTGGATAAAAGCATCTGCTATATGACTGTAATGTAATGTCATATGTCATGATTCAAATATATACCCACGATTTGAGCAATGTTTATTATTGTGTGTTTCCTCTGTTCTCTCTGCAGCTCGGAGAAGGATGATATACTCGCTGTGCTGACACGTGTGAACAGGGAGGTCAGCAATAGAGAGTTTCTTGTATTCAAACAAATTCCAGAGCCCAAGTACACCCTCACCAAGAAGCTCGTTCTTAAATATGTGTGAGCTGACCGGGACCAGGTCCAAAGCTGAGAATGTGCCAAATTCACAGAGACCTGGTTTACTGTGTGTATGGCTATGGTTGAGTAATTAAAATATAGTGCAAATAATAGTTCTCAACATTGGGTTCCCTTTAAATACAAATCACTTTTGTTGGTGTTGGGGGTTGTATGTTTTCAGATGGGATTGAAAACAAAAACGTAAAAGCAGCAATAACTAAATGTATATACTCTGTTACAGGTAAAAGTTCTTTATTCACTGTAGGAGCTATTTATTTGATGATAATATTTTGTTATTTAATTAATAAGTAGTAGCCTATTGTTTAATTATATTATTTTTTGTTGTTTAAGTATACTTAGTTTTGGGTTAGTTCATTGTTTGTTCTTTGGGTAACACTGTGGGCATCTGTGGTTATGAGTAGGTAGGTAGGACCAGCATGCACCGGGTGGGCCTATAGTGTTTTACCAGGACAGGAGAGACAGCGTATAAGACAGGAGTATTTCTTTGTTCTTTTTGTTTGTTTCCTTGTTTGGTTTGGTTTACTTAAATAAATAAGAAAAATCGGAATCCTGTATGGACATTCAACACCTTTCTGCCTGCGTAAACTACAAACCACGGTGCATCAGTGGCCTTTCATCATTGTTTGTTTTATTTAGATTTATTCGACAAATGGCCACTACATTCACATTCATCTATGTATTATCTTCACCTTCTTCACTATTTCATTTCATCAAAGATATAGAATATAATGTACTAAGATGAATGAGTTGCCATGTAAAATTGACATGTGCATAGCTTTTATGTTGAAGCTCATCCAGGTAACTAACTACTTTATCATAGTGTTGGGCTCATCTCAGTATGGAAGCCAATAGGGGCCTTTATTAAAATTATTATGTAAACTTGAAGATTAAAATGTAAATCCAGATATGTATGTGTTATTTGATTCAAAATGAGAAATGCTATTTTGATTTTCACATATGTGTTTGATCGTTCTATGACCATATGAAAATGGAAAAGCCTATCTTTCCATTTGGTTTGGAGTTATTTAGTCACAATTCAAATTAAAATGTATTTTTCTAACCATTTCAATATGAAAACAGTATTTGACATTTCATTTTCAAAGACCTACAGGGGTAGTTGGGATGTTTTGAAGGAGGATTGAATATGGTAATTATCCATAGTCAGTGTATTGGCCTTATTATACTTTCGTCATTTATTTATGAACTCGCATGGAACGGTAAGCAGGGTAATCTCTCTAAACAGATTTTGCATTGATATCGGTCAATATAGGAATTAAAAAAAAAAAAAAAGAATGATTTCAGGTGATGCAAATGGGGGAGAGATTCAGTGTCCCATCAGCACGATACCGTTCATGGTCCTCTGCTTCACCGTTAGTGGGAAGACGGTGGTCATGGTTCATGAGGACGGCCACAGAGGCCTCATCTGTGTGCCGGCTGGTGTTTGCGTGATCCTCCGGGTCAAACTGCGGTTTTGGAGTTGTTTCATTGAAATGAAGAGGGTACAGCTCCAACCTTTGACGTTATCCTACCATGTGGTACAAATTTTGTCGCCTTTGAAATATCGGCTGCACGCTGTTGTGTGACTGGTTACAGCTATTCTTATTTTGTTCAGCCTCTAAACCATGTTTACTTATATTATAGGAGGCATATAGTATTTTTTGATGTGTGGGCCAGTCTGCTGTCTGTACCCAGGACGTACCCAGAACTCAGCTTCTGGATTATTCTATATCTTTATCTGCCCTTTCAGAAAGTGTTCTAGAGGAAATCATCTTTAAAAAAACTTCTTCTTACAAAGAGATTATCAGAATGTAATAGTTTCAGTTTAACCTACTTATAACTATTAGATGATGTTGTATTCTGCTTGATTTCTTGTTAGCTTTATCTTGTAAAAGGAATAAAGTCTGAATAAGTATTTGCTCTAAAAACCAAAACGTTTTGTCTTTGAATAAAAGCTCTGGTGTCAGTGCCAAAGCAAACTACAGCTAGGTTGAATGCATGCATGTTAGTGTGGGTGGGTTGGCTGTTGCTTTATGTGGGGGACATTGCTGTATGCACATATCTGCCAGCTCAAACTCATAATCTTCTGACTTTATCATAAACCACTTTCACACAGCTTTCTGCATCCCAACAGTGTTTGTCTGCACCACATCTTGCTGGTGTAATCAAGCTTCTGCTGGAGTCCAACATTATATCAGGTCATTGCAGGTGCAACTGCAATGACAGAAAAGTGTGAAAACCAGAAGAGCTTTTCCTGTCTCGCGTCCTTTCACACACTCATCTGCAGCAGCCTCGCGCCCTTGAAGCACACGGGGGGAGACAACAACATGGAGAGGGAGGGGACGCTGGTCCGGTCCATTTACTACGGGAGAATCGGAAGCGAGGTCACGGAGAGGCTGCTGGAGAGATTTGGACATGACGGCAGCTTCCTGTTGAGAGACAGCGAGACCGTGCGGGGAGCCTACTGTCTGTGTGTGAGGTGAGCTGGGACAGCGCGACCAGAAGCGACAAATTCCCTTTCGCTTATGTCGCACCTTTGTTCGTGTGAATATTTATTTAGATCATTTATCATGTGCAGACAAGATGGGAAAAGTGCTGATGTCGGGGCTCTGACACAATATCTCGTGAAAGATTTCCTTCCAAACTGTGAAGTACTTGTATTTCTAGTGATTTAAACACAACTTTTAAATAAAAATGCACAATAACACGGTGGGATAAGATGCATTTACATGTAGACTGTATTATAGTTTTACCTCTTACTTTTGTTCTGCTGTATT